ACGTTGAGAATTCGTTGGCCTGCCTACGCAATGGAAAATTCCGTACTTAATATTTTATTGTACATTACTTTGTTCCGTGACTGCTACGTTTTGCGTATTATTCCGCGGACTTATTGGTATTGATTAAATTAACGATTAATTCTGTTCAATCGAGAAAATGTTTCAAAACGAAAATCGTTGTTACTTAAATTCTCATTACTAAGATTAGAGATTTTACTTCAATAGTTGATGCATACAAATGTATATTTCTAAATTGCAAATCTTCATTCACTATGAATCTAAAAGAGAAGTGAAGCACACCGCGCTTCGAAAAAACCAATCGACATCGCGAAAAAGAGGCCTCAACTGTTCGATATTAACGACATTCGCGCTGGTAACATCTCTTTTTTAGAAAGGGATTTGAGGGAAAAATAAAGATATAAATATCATTTAATTATCAGTTAGCTTACCAAGAGGTTGAAACAACCAGATGTTAATGAAAGGCCCGATAAATTGGGAAAACTACGATCGCACGAAGCAATCTCTCCGGATATGAATCCGAAATGGCGAAAGAAATTCGTAAATTACGACAAACTTCACGCTGATTATGATTCTAGCAATTCTCGAAGCTTCTTGGAATTATTTTATATGTACAGTCGGGAGCACTGAGGTTGCGACACTTTTTTTTTTATAAGTTTACGAACGCGCAAAATAATTCAGATCCTGAATTGCGCGTTCGTAAACTTATAAAAAAAAAAGTGTCGCAACCTCAGTGCTCCCGACTGTACACAGATTGAGTATGTGTGTTTCGTATATCGAACAGTATTTTAATAACACATTTTCTAGAATAAGTAATAATATTTTAGCAGAGTTGGGAAAGTTACTTTATAAAAGTGTCTAGTTACAGTTTTGTTGCTACAAATGTAACTAAGTAGTTACAGTTACAAGTTACCAATTCTGCAACGTAACGCGTTACAGTTACAGTTACTAAAAAAATAACGAATCGTTGCTTTGCAGTTATTTTCTTGCAATGAAAATAAAAATATCAACTCTACATTTGAATTGTAAAAGCGTCGGTAAAGGCATTTATGCGCAGATGCGAGGCCTAATGCGATCTGCGGAGGTTTAAGATATAACATATAAAGTAACTCTTAATGCAACTTATCTTTAAATTGGTTATTAGTTATTGAAAAAGTGTAACTGAGTTAAGTTACAGTTACAGATGGAGAGAAAGTAACGAAGTTAAGTTAGAGTTACCAAAAAAAAGTAACTGTAACTTCGTTACAAGTAATGAGTTACTTCCCACCCTGTATTTTAGCTATTTCAAATTGTCACAATTTAAAAAACAAAATTGTATCTAGATATACTATTTCAGGTTACGAATGTCGGACAAAGTTAGCCACTCCGCTATCAGGGATATTAATAGTTAGACTCAACAGAATAAGAAATATAAAAATATTATTAGTTAAAATCGTATATATACATGTTAAATTTTTAACACATTCCCAGTGAGAAATGATTCGTCGATCGACGTCGAAACGACGTCGAATCGACATCGACACCGGCAAATTGACGTCGATTCGACATCATTTCAACGTCGATCGACGAGTCATTTCTCACTGGGTTGCGCGTTTAATCAAACGCTTCTTAGTGCCACTTTTGGTTGATACATGCATATTTCCCTTAAAAGATAAATATTTTAATTTGTTTCTCAGACCTCGAGAAGTGTCACAATATTCGCTGTATATCGTGCATTTTGACGTTAAAAATGAATGTCAAGCATTAAAATTCGTCACCTTCCAAGAGAACTTTCCTCCTGAACAGAGGACGCGATCGATCTATGTAACAATGAGTTATGCGTAACGCTATACATTTTTATTTGAGGTGCTTTCAGAGTTCAAAGAATTATATAGAGCATACACATCTGGACTTTACACTTAACTTCCCCTCATACCTGAGTATTTCAATTCCAGTTCCTTCGGCACCTCTCAACTGGATTAGCGCCTTCTGTAATATTAAAAAGGTTAGGTTCTACGAGAGCGGGATCTGTCGTACCGACCGAGCGTGCCCTGAAGTTGCACGCAACATACATAAACAGCTGTTGACGCACGTGTGTGCGTCAAGAGACACGTGGCGTGTTGTGTATATGCAAACTCGCGAGGGGATGTTCGATAAGATCTTGTTTTCCACTTTTACAGTACTTCTGTTATCGTAATACGGTGCGACAAGGGTAACGTTTAATCCGGCGTATCGCGTTCCGCGTCCTTGCACGATCGTGTCCGCATCGTTAACGAAAGAGTGCCGTTGTGCAAATTTTCTCTTTGGAAAGAAATTATTTTGCAACGCGTCAATAGACGCATTTTTGTCAGCGCGTTAACGAACGTTGACCGTTTAGTAGATAAGAGTTCCGTATATCAACACGAACGCGCTTGCCCAATGATATAACTATGGCATCTTCTTTTTTTTCAGAGAGTAGAGGAATATCAAGTCGTTCTGAAAGTAAACAAGATATCCGGTGATTAGATAGCACTATCAAGAATTGAATATATAGTTGGATACGCGGTTCTCTGCGGTGCCACTTCGAGGCAGTCTTTCAAGATGAGTCGAAACGTAGAACCCCTGGACGCATCCGAAATAAACATCAAGTCAAGAACATTGCACCAGCCGCCTCTCGACGAGTTAATGAACGGTAATTGGAAAGGTTTTTTTTTTATTTGCTGCAGGAAATAGCAGGTGGCGATAATATAACTTTTGCTGTGATCGTAGTCTTAGGAGAAGGACTGACTGCGAACTTTGCGGAGGCCGCTATCGAGATGGCCGACTGTCCCGAGCTCGACAAAGGGCCTTACAATTTTTATCGGAAAGGTAGACATGAGAAATAAAACACAAGGCGCGGCCAATCTTTTTCCTAATCTCTGAGTCTCTTCAACGATGCTTGCAGGCTTGTGTGGCAGTCCGATTATTTTGGAAGTCGGTGGTCCATCGCATCTTCTACCAGTTGTCCAGAGAGACAAGTTCTACGACGTTAAGTCGTTGCTGCGACAGTTAAATTACAACCATGACACTCTTGTCATCGGCGCAGCAGCTGGACCGTGGCCACATACAGGCCGTAACTGCGAGGTGTGCATTATGACGAATCATTTGCATTAGTAACATCTTCCGACTTGAGGAAAGGAGGAAGCAAACTTACGCGAAATGTTCGTTTCAGCTTATTATGAAGTTAAACGTAACGAACGATAAAGTCTCACCAGGGTACAGACTTAACATGGGAGTGGCGAATGGGACGCATTACGCATTTGTAAATAAGTCCACTGGTGAGTGCATACTCGAGCGAGTAGCTGCTGATAAGGATGAAACAACCTTCGCGTTGCTGGCCAATCTGTATGTGTGTGAGGGCAAGCCAGGGAAAGTTATAAAAGTACGCGCTAAGAAACGTACCGGCAACCTGGACTTTATAGCGTGCATGCAGAAAGCGTTGGAGAAACGTTACGGGGACAAGCTCGTAGGTCTGTGACAAATCATCGTTGCAATAGGGAATTAAACAGCGCTCTTGACCATCAAATATTCCTAAATTTAGGTCTGGGTGGTATGTTCGAGGTGAAGAATGGAAAAGTGAAGCAGCATATTATGCCAGATTTTTCGGACACCCCGTTGACGACTGAGGCCCAGCTTAACAACTGGCTACATTTCTACGAAATGGAGACTCCTCTGATAGCTGTCGGCACATTTGTCAGCGCTGAGACAGTAAGCTTTAACGAGATTCAATCTGTACGAAAAGAAAAGGATTATCAGACGCGTTCGAACACTACAGTCTAGGAACTTATGCCAAACGACTATTTACTTTTCAATTGAAGTACTTGTTCCTTCTGTTACACAGGATTTAGATCTCAGAGTGCAGCATTTCCATAGTGCTTACGAAGAGAACAAGTTGGGTGGACATTATCACAACGATACAACGCCGGACACTATTGAATACGAGGGTTACTTCAATGTGGCAGCTACGCTTTATCGTGTCGATCAACCGCTCAATAAACTGCAGTTTGGAAAAGATTAATTACTTATCTGCACGTCAAATTTTTACAACATTTTAAACTTTACATCAATGAAAACTTTATGTTAGTAACATAAGTAAATACGCTGATAATATATTTTGTTAAAATTTATACAAATTTATCTAAGAAATTCCAATGATAAAGAAATAAACGTATTTGTTAAAAAAAAGAACAAAAACTTAGATCTGCTTTTTCTCCTCCTTCCTTGTTAAGACTGAGTTACGTGAACTGATACTAAATTCCGTTAGCAAACTCGTTAGCAAGTTAGCTCGCAAATTCATAATTTATTTGACCCCGTGGAATTATATTGTTCCGTTAATATCGATTTGCGAACGTTATAATTTGTATTACTTTACAGGAGAAAAATTACGTTCTTGCTAAAATGCCCTGTGCGAACTCGGCTCATCAATTCAAAATTAATATGAAATATTGTTCCACGTTTACTGTCGATGGATGACAGCTGTAGTCCTATATTTATTTTGCTATTTTCGGCCGTATTTCGGTGAAAGATCGCGTCGTCAAATTATATCTACACAGTTTAAGAAGAAACCTTACATTAACTCTGTGTGTACTTCGTGTTAACAAAACAAATTATGATTATCTGTTATGCATTTGTTTCACAAAATATTTCTCCAACGAGTTTTGAATGCACTGTACACATCGGTAAGATATATGTGTTATGTATTTCAGCTTTCATATAATCTAAAATAAATTATGGAAAATAATCATAAAGTAATAGTGGCACATTGTCAATCTGAATCCAGGGTTCAAAGTAATACCGATGTTCGAGCTTAAAAATATCGTGGCCCAGAGAACACGCTTGTCTAAAAGACATCTTAAAGACGCCTATTAGACGTCTTTCAGACATAAGACGTTCAATAGACGTCTTAAAGACGTTTTTTAGACATGCATATTCTCTGGGTGGATTATTCACATGCTCGACGTTTTCCAGGAAATTTTTCTTACCAAAACGCATGCCTATATTAATTAATGTAATTAATTATCGTAAACAGCGTATCGATCCCGTGCCTATGCTCGATGGCGTGGCAGATTTTTCTTACTTATGCAGTAAGGCGCTTCACAACTTCGCTCTCTTTTATTTATGACATTGCTGGCTCTTTTTACAATTTCTTTCAAGAAATACTTTTATTCCTTTTAAGAGACGTTGCTCATTTCTTCTGAAAAATCCTTGTCAATTCTTTTACTTGTCGTTCTCTCGACAAGTGAAAAAATACTTCTCTCAAGTTGTCAGTATAAAACTTTCATTTTTCATCTTCATTATGATTAAACTACATTTTTACATTAGCAGGATATAGCTGCTAATATAAAAATCTAATAAATATTAGTATAAAAATGTATGTAATGCATTGATTTTAATCACAGATAAAACAAATATTAATAGGCACCGAGACGTGTTTAATTTTACCACTTTGGCGGATCACAATCGAATAATGATCGCGATATCTTTTCGGTAATGAGTGCATCCCGTCCTCTGCCGATCACGTGCGCGACTCCTTTCTGTCTCGAAAGGCGATCTCTTAATTTTCATCCGCACGTATCGGCGGTCTCTCCTCTCGTCGCTCCACTCGTCCGAATCTTCCTAACGTCATTAATCCGCAATAATCCGTCGGTCGTCTAAGTTATGCTAATTGCGTACGGACGGAGTCGCAGATGCGTCGACGGGCGGACGACGGCAGTACGGCCTGGACAAAGTGCCGATCTTCTGCCGATATCGCCGTATTCTCTCGCCTCGGTTGTTCCCGAGATACATACGCCGCGATGAAGTTCAGCATTGAATCCACGGCTTCCTACAACAGCATCCACCCGGCCTATCACTATACCGAGCAGTTCGCCAATAACGGCGAGACCTATCGGGACGGTACCAAGTGGTACGGGGTGTTCCTGGCCTTTCTGTCGGGCACCTTCTTCACCATCAGCTCCGCCCTGGTCAAGGCGATCCGCAACGTGGACCCCATGATCCTGCTGGCCATCCGCGCCCTGGCGCAGATCCTGACGATGGCCGTCGTGGCCTGCAGGTCGTCCGGCGATCTCTTCGGCCCTTCCGGCCAAAGGGTACTCGTGCATTTTCAGGTAAAACTTCGCTGATCTTGGATCGGGCACGATTGTACCGATCGTCCGCGAAGAGAACGGCGATCTCTGATTTGTAGAGGCCGCGGATCCATTGATCGCTTTTGCATTTGCTCGCGCAACAAATTTAATTACACGGCATGGGTTCCGTGACAGAAACGTCGATCATCCTACACGAAATCGGTCGCTCTCTTCTTATCTGATTACGTACATGTAAATGATTACGCGCTTATCCGCAGGCGCCCGCAGCTTCTCTACGACGTGTATCATATTAACTGCACTAATCCGGAAAAGATCGGCGACGAAAATTATTCATTCATAACATCTGCGTTAGCGAAGCTTAGCCTCCCCCCCCCTCAGAAAAACTGATTGTAAGAAACGTAAAGACGAAGCTCACGTTCTTCAACGTGGTACATGGACTTTCTTTATGTACTATTATGTATTCTTATGTACTATCGTCGATGTAAAGATAGTGTAATAATACTTGGAAATAATATTGCAATAACAATAAATTGTTATAATAAACGTATTAACTTTTTATGAGCTTTTGTTGATATTTTCTGGGTGAATGCACGCTAAATCGAGTCTTTTAAATTTTGTAAATGGAACTATGTCCCAGTGGTCACGTGAAAAAATTCAAAAATAATGGCTGTGTTCAGCAGAAGTTAGCGCTTAATAAGCGCTTTATGCTGATTGGATAGATCTAGAAGAATAGCTCTATTTCAGCACAGATCTGAAAGTATAATCCAATGAGCGCAAAGCGCTTAGCAAGCGCTAACTTCTGCTGGACACAGTCAATATCTCGATAAAGAGAGAGCCTGCTATTCTGCTGTTAGTCAAATTGTAATAAAAATTTTTGAGACTTAACAAGGAACGTTTGCAGAGCAAAGCACGTAAACTCGGTTTCCTCGTGCGATTGTTACGCGGATTTAATCATTTTTCTTTTTTACTAGGGTCTGGTAGGCGGCATGACCCTCTCGTTGCTATACTACAGCTTCCGAGAATTACCTCTAGGCGATGCCACCACGATCATCTTCAGCTCGCCGGTGATCGTCATCGCGCTGTCCTTCCTCTTCCTGAAGGAGCCGTGCGGTGTGCTGCGGGTAATGGTGGTCTGCACGCTCTTGGCGGGCGTCGTCCTCGTTGCCAGACCACCCTTCTTATTCCAGGTAGTCAAAGGAAAGAAACTGGAAAAAAAATTATATATATCAGACAAGGAAGGTATCGATGAAGTTGAATAAAAATCACTGCGAATTATCCCTCTTGAATAATTTGAGACAAGGAGGATATCAATTTCGCAATGGAGAAAAATTGATCAAGTTTAGATAACTTTTAAGCGAGACTTCTGGAAAAAAGTGGACCAGCTACCTTCTCGCCCTTCATCCCTCGCAACCGATACTATTCTCTTCCAGATGCACCGCGCTGAAAGCTACAATCTTATGGGATATCTGTGCGCCATCCTGGCCACCGTCTTCACGGCGCTCAACATCGTCGTCATGAGGAAGTGCTCGGAGATACATTACTCCATCCTGGTGTTGAACCTGTCGTGCTGGTCGTTCGTCTCCGCAGTGTTCTTCTACTTCACGGTGTCCGGCCACGGCGTCGGCCACGAGCTCCAGAAGTTCCGGCTGCCGCACGACTGGTTCACCTGGGGCCAGATCCTGCTGGTGGCGTTGACCGGCCTCACCGGCCAGGTGCTGGTGACCAAGGCGCTGAAGATCGAGGGCGCGGGTAAGGTGTCGGTCACCAGATCGCTGGACATCATCCTAGCGTACCTGATCCAGGTTTACCTGTTCGGCGATAAGCCCACGTCGACCAGCCTGACTGGCGCGATCCTCATCATCTCTTCCGTCGTCTGCATGGGTTTCGAGAAGGAGATCTACGCGGTCTGCGACTTCATTCCTTAGCCAACGGAATCGATTATTCAAACGCCGCGAGCGAGAATAAAACTGCCAAGTGCGATCCCGAATTACGACTCTGTGGCCGAGAACGGACGAATTGCGATCCGCAAAATCCAATTACTTAAGAAAAAGAAAATCACAGACTAGCCAGAATATCACGACGCTAAGTACCAATAAATTTTTAACGATAGCATTAAGATCAACAAACATTTAATCATTCAATTTCTTATTGGAACAAGCTTTTGGTATCGAAGAGGTGCCGATTCACAGGTGGCACTCACTTGTACACGCATTCTCTTTGTCTTTTCCGTGTCTCTTCCTAATATTCCAATTCTTAAAATAATATCTGATGACGCAATATATGATAAACATCAACCATCTAGAATTTCAATGTCGATAATAATAGTAGTAATAATAACGAGTCGTAGCGATAATAATGTCAATAATAATAAAGTTATAATCAATTTGTGAACACGAATCTACACGTGCAAATATATATATATATAGATATATATATAAACAGAGAGAAGTGCACGTTTAACGCGTATATTTGTATACACATATGTATATTTACATATACATATATATATACATATATATACCGAGATGATTAATTCGATGGGAAAGAAAGAAAGGTACTACTATGATTAACAGTAAACCGCTATACCATATCCAAGATAATATAATTATTTACATTGTATATTCTTTCCTCTACTGTCGTTCCAGACGAGACGCACGTGTACGCGCGCCAGCGCGACATTGATCCTATTAATGTCGCTGGAGAACGGACGCTACCTCAGTGCTTGCAAATCTATAGATATATATAAAGTATATATATGCTATCTATACTTCAGAGCTTAGTTTACAATTCGAGTGGTAAATGTAACGTAAAACATACACATTTTTCTTCCTCGCGCTCACCCTCTCTCTCTCTCTCTCTCTCTCTCTCTCTCTCTCTCTCTCTCTCTCTCTCTCGTCTTCTTTCTCACATGCACACACGCACCTTGCTGCGCTCGTTACCATCCTTCTTCCTCCTTCGAACCGTGCGAAATCGTCATCATGCGACACTTTGTTATACCCTACGGCTAAGCTTACTCTAAGTTTCTGCTTTACGATTAAAGAGAAGTTGCACAATTACTTACATTATGTATTATAAGTGACTTCTCGCGCTTGAAAAAGGTATGTGTACATATATACTTGACATATACATATAACGTTGCTTCATTCCGCCTCGCCTCGCTCCGCCTTTTCGCTCTACATTTTCCTCCTCGTCACCTCAGCTCGCTGCACCGCCTGGCACGACCTACGGACCTTAAGTCCCTCGATGTAATCGCATCGCACGCCTAATCTACCCCTGCGGCACGCACGTGGCCCCCAAGTTATTCGGCTAAACGCGCGGTATCGCGAGGGTGCATGTCCGTAGCGATGCGATACAGGGAACGTAATCGCGCACGGTAGAGCCCTCCCGCACAGAAGAAGGGCGAGGACCCGCTCGCGTAACTCTCGCATCCAACGCACCTCCTACGTGTAAATATATGTATATATTTACATATATATTCTTCCCCGATATCGTATGATTTTTGTTTTCTTTTTATCTTACATTGGTCATATGATTCTTCGTCCCTGAAGCGTAATTCTTGCGACTGTACAGGTGAGGGACATCTCGTGCCGTTACAACGATCGTCCCTTCGCCTTCCTCCCGGCTCCTCGCGCAAAGTGTGGCTCCGCTTCGCGTCGTACATGTACATTTAAATCTACGTAATATTGCTAAAAGGAAGTTGCGTTAGCTTTGTCGCGTGCAGCGTGGTGACATGCGATAGAAAATGCTACGATACAATTAAGCGCCTCTCTCGAACGAGGTGGAGATCGTAAAAGATCGGATAAGACCGCGCCGGGCGGGATTCATTCGCTCGATCCCCTCGGCGATCGTTTACGATCTCCAGATCAGTTTGATAAGAGAAATCGCTGACAAAAATGAAAAGGAAGAGAGAATGGTGCTCGACAGGCGACGAAACGATTACAGAACTCTATGTCGCTAAATATGATTATCTTCTTTTTTTTTCTCGCTACGCGAAGTTCTCCCTCGCCGATGCGGTCTCGTCCAATCTCACGATATCCAAAAGACTCCCCTCGCAGAGTCTCGCTCGCCTTGTTGACCGTGGAATCTCCTCCCCGTTCCCGTTAAAAATTCAATGCTCTTTTCTGCTATCTCTTCCCTTCCGTAGAAATTAAAACAAAGTTCTAGATAGGCACTGCACGCCGCTGGTTCCCTCATCACAGTATCAAACAATAAAATTTATATCTTACCGCGAAAAAACGCGCGCTTCGAGGATGCGAAAATTTTTCGTCGTATTCAAAATACGTTTTGGCTACAAAAATAGGGCGCGCGTTCGTTCCTTTTTTTTGCCACTTTTTCTTGTCTTCCCTCTTTTTTTGCTTATTTTCGATTTTTTTTTTTGATTGATTGCCTTAATCAATGCTGTGGAGATATAGATACAAATGTCTAAAGTACACGTGTCAACGTCAAGCTAAAGATACATTCGGGCGTTTGTCTTTTTTACCTAAATATTCGTCAAACAATCGTTCTACTACACCACATTATACAATATACGTCATGCTCTCTTTCTCTTTCATTCCATCAACATTAAAGTTATATCGTACCGTATGATACAAAAATGAGTCTGCCTCTGATAACTAATACTTTGAATACGCGATTAATAAAAATATCGCTATCAAGATAACGTTATCCGAATAGTTTGAAAGACGGTAAAAGTGTGCATACAATGTTGTAATCCGATACTGTTCACCGTGCCGCGCGAAAGATTTGAATACATCCCCGAAAAATAATATCTCGTACATCACACTTATACTCGAATTAATTATATAATTTTAGAATGGTAATTTAATAAAAACACTGAGTGTCCTTAATTAATGAATAATGGCGTTAACTTATGTAACCTACGCTAATATTTATGCGACAACAAAGAAGACTCGTTAATTAAATAAATAAATATGTGGAAAACTCGTGGATCTGATAGTGAGAAGTATACATATTCGCAAATACAAAACGTAATAATCACTCGCACATTATTCCAATATATATTTTTAACGTTTCTATGTCATAGAAACTTAAATGAGATCTCTTCCCTATGTGATGTAAAATTACTTAAAATCGCCACATATATGTATATATATATCCTCAATACATACATACATATATATATAAAAGATATCTGAAGAGATAGAACTCAAACTTACAGCCACACACAGCGTAATAGAACAACAAATCCATAGTCATTTATTATATGTTAAGAGTAACAGCCATGCGGCATTTTTATACAATTCTGAATATCTGTATCTCTGTATAGAACATGTGTGTCAGTATATAATGTATAATATAATGTTATACATGACGATAGATGTAACATTATATTATGTACATATATATCCACATATAATATATATGTAATATATGTACACATATAAATATACATATATTTTTCTACGATATCAATAGCAACTTAAAAGAATATAACTAATAAATATATACAAGAACATGAAGTCATTAATTTTGCAAAATCTGATCAGATCCAACGAAAATCCACTTTCATACGATAGTGGGTGCGTCGCGATGGTTTCTTAGCGCTCGAGACGGTGCACGCAAAGAAAAGATTAGCCAAAAAAAGCTAAAATTTAGCAGTGACAGCTAAAATGTGTCTTTGAAATAGGGACAGCTAATGTTGTTGCTGCCACACCTCAATTTATTAGCTCTTTGAATGTAGATACTGCAGCAAAAAATATTAGCTGTTAGAAACAAGTAATATTTAGCTGTATATATTCAGCCATTTAGCTTTAGCAACAGTACGTAAAATACTGATATAAGCATGCTTATATCAGAATTGATATCCTTCCTCTCTTTCTCCTTGCTCTTACAAAATTATCGTTATAATGATGCACGGTTGCATTTCATTTAGAGAACTGATTCTAAAGAGATGATTACTCGGGAGACATACAATAAAATTGTGTTACAAATAGAAATTGGCATTCACACAAAAGTAACCTACGTGCAGCATTGTACAGTTATTCTGCGTACAGTTAATCTTTCTTTTTTGTAATTATTAAAGTCGTATGCTTAATAATCTTTCTAGAATCGTCGTAGAATTAATTCGCTCAGTGTTTTATGCATTCACATGCATTCACATGTAATCATTTGAAATTGATATTACATTTATTTTAATATCTCTTGTCTCGTTTTTTACACAAATAAATATCCCCTTCTTAACCAAATCCCATTTATCCCTTTGGAGTTGATTTGATAGAATCAAACAAACATATAATTACAATAAAGATTTCAAGACACACGCAGGAATTACTCTATATTGATCAAAACTAACAAGTAACATAAAGATCGCGATGTAATTCAACTTTATTCCTTGCCCTCGCTCGAGCCAAAGCGAACCAAAATAAAACTGAATTATAATTATAAACTTAAATAGTTATGTGAAAGCAATATTATTCTGAAGTATAATCATCAGTGCGTAGAATTCCTTTTTTCCATTTTTATATGTTCGTCTAGTACATGTATATAAAAAAAATTGTACTGCTCACTGTGTATCTCGTATTTTGCTTTTCGGTCCAGCAACATCTCGTGGTACTTTTTGAAATAGAAAATTGTCAAACTACAACTTCGCCGATGTGCCCCATGTCCAATGTCCCCCCAGCATTGTAAATTCTGAACCAACAAAACTTGTAAACGGTACAAGGACACGGTGATGAGTCCCACGCGTCAAATACAGTGTAAAACAAACGGTTTCATTTATATATTATAATATATATTATGTGTGTATCACGATGCATATGCGATATATACAATATATATATACAGAGTGAACTGAAACCACCGGAGAGCCTTTTAATCATAAATTCTTTAGAAAATTTCAAGACGAAAATTCTAATACAAAAATGTCGAGGCTAGTTTTTAAATAATAAGCGATTATTTAAATTTTTCACACACAATAGACCGGAGATTTCGCGCGCTCAGGCACGGCGATATGTGATAAAAGTGTTCCTAGCTAAAATTGATCGACCACTTTGACAGCTGCAAAACTTTGAAGTTACAAGTTGAAGTTACAAGTTGCAAAGTTTTACTTGAATTAAATAAAAGGACGACATTCATAGGAACACTTTTATCACTTGTCATGTCGCCGTGCCTGAGCGCGCAAAATCTCAGGCTTATTATGTGTGAAATATAAGCGCTTATTATTTAAAAATCATTATAGCCTTGATATTTTTGTATTAGAATTTTTGTCTTCAAATTTTCTAAAGAATCTATGATTAAAAGGATATCCGGTGGTTTAGTACACTCTGTATATATACAAACACATACACATATACGTGTATTATTATACATACAATTCATGGTGCCGAACATGTCCGTTCTGTCAGTTTGGTACGGTCATTTATCCATATAAAAATTTGTCCTTTGAAAAAAGAAATTAAACTTGAGTCATCCACGATAAGTGCGTTCCATCTGTCACTCACAACGCTCGCATTATTCGACCTTAGTTAACACTTGGTGAGCAACAGGGATGATTCCAAGAGCGTTACGAGCGTTAGGCAATTACATTTGTCGTACGCCAAAGCAATCGAAGAATTAAAAAGTACATGGAAAAAGGGAAAAAGTAAGTGCTGAAGATAGCGGTGATAGAGGGAACTCAACGATTGTCGTCGCCTGCAAAACGGCAAAACCTCATCCGAGATGAACAACTATGCGATTCGATTAAACAATTATACTTAAAGAAGAAGAACAAACCTCCGCGCCGCTCCTCGGCTCGGACAAATTATTAAATCAAATGTGTATCGGCACGTGCACCAGTAACTCGGCACGGCTGGAGAACACCGCGGCGCACATCTCGCACGTGTACTCCACCGTGTCCGGTATTATCGTTTCCGGGACATCGTCCACCGGCGCTATAACACTATGTACGGTCATCATCCTCGCTTGCGACGCCGACTCCACCTTGACACTGAGCTTAACGTTGTCCCGTTTGCTGATCTCCTGCACAACGTTGTGCGGCAATATGCTCTCCTCCTCATCGTCCGGAGCGGTAACAACGCTCGCTTCGAAAGCTACTTCCAGATTACTGCCGTCCACTGCGTGATCCATCAGTCGTGCCGGATCGCCGCTGTTCTCCATGGTATTGTTGTTATTATTTCGTATCTGAAACTGCTGCTGCTGCTGCTGCTGCTGCTGTTGTGCTCCCGCGTTTGTTGCGAGCGTGTTCAATTCCTGCTTCACCACTGGTTGCTTCTGTCTCTTGGTGGTCCTCTTCGCGGTGGCCGATGACGATTTTCTCTTGTTCGACGACGCCTGAGTTTTACCGAGGGCCAGGATATTACCATTGTTGTTCCTGTGACTGTCACCCGCGGCCTTCTGCACGCCTGGCTCTTGCTTGATGCTCAGTAACTGCTGCGCCGACACCGTAGACGCGTTCTCCTTCGTCGACTTGGTCGGGAACGTCGCCGGCGCGAGCTGCGATTTACCTTCAACGTGATAACTAACGTTCTTTGTGCGCGGTCGATTTCGCTCGCCGCCCGGAAAGACGCCGGACTTGTGCTCGTTCGGCATCACCTTCGGCGTCCGGGTCACCATTGTCTTCGTCTTCTGGCCCTTCTTCGCGCCGTCGCTACCCACCTCCACCGGGACCCGCGTCTTCTGCGTGTGGATCATCTTCGGCCGGCCCGACTGATTCGATGCCTGCCCCTCCTGCTTCTTCTCCTCCTTACGCAGCTTCTTCTTCGAGAGCTTCGATTTCGATGCGTTCAACTTGGAATTACTCACAATCGAGTTTATGTTCTGTAGAGAGCTTTCAAAACTTTTCAGCACGTTCTGATAGCCTTCCTCCACGTTCGTTCGATGTTGCTTGTTCTTCTTGCCGAGCTTTCGCTTGGTGTTGTCCTCCGAATCGGAACCGCCAGTACCAGTGCCAGTCCCGGCGCCGATGCCACCGCTTGCACCGATACCGCCGATGGTAGCGCTACCGGCACCGCCGCCGGTACCACTGCTATTTTCCATCAAGTCGTAGGTAAACTCGTCTCTACGCGCTACTGTATTCGTCTCGATAGATTTCGTCTTGCGTCTTCTCTTATACTTGCGCGGCCCAGTCTGTGGCTGGCGCCTCAACGCAGTATTATCGTCACAATGCTGCACTATATGTGCCACTATTTTCTCGGACGTCGAGTATGATTCGCCACATACTTTACACAAATATGGCGTTAAACTGCCCACGCATTTCGGATCTGGACCGGAATGATGGGCGCGCACGTGTTCCCGGAGAACCACCTGTAAAAGGGAGAACACAATTTTATTTTATTCACGTTTCATAATAAAATTGCACCAAGCAGCTAGGCATTGCTACCAGATTACAAATGTATTTCGGCTTGAAATAATGGTTAACTATTCGCAATTTAAACCATTAAAATGAGACAATATTCATACGATACACGTTGTCTTTCCTTTAATAAAGCAAAACGCTTGTCCGCACTTTCGTGCGTTTTAACGATAAACCTACTCTTTGATTAAATGCCCGAGGACAGATCGCGCATCCGTATGGCTTTTCGCCGGTATGAATGCGCTCGTGTTTCCTCAAAGTGCCGCCGTCGGCGAAAGCCTTCCAACAGAATCGACAACCATAGGGCCTCTCGCCGGTGTGAATACGTATATGAATCTGCTGCGAGCTACGACTGCCAAAGGTCTTGCCGCACTCACGACACGGGAAAGAACGACCGCCCAGTTCCCTGTTGTGAGAATGACGATGGCTCACGAGAGCCCGTCCGTCGGGAAACTCCTCGCCGCACTCGTCGCATGCTACCATTTTGTTGCGGTGTGACATCATGTGTCTGCAAACATGACGATACATTTTTCAATTGGATAAAAACATTCCAAGAATAAAAGTTGTGTTTTTGTCAAAGAGATCAAATTAAATTATAATATTTTAATACAAGCATTTTTTTAGTGTACGCGCTTTTGTGCCCGTGACTATTGTACAAAGTGTAGAGCTAGCAGAGTTAAAAATTTTTTTACTACACCATCTCATTTATACCTTCGTAAACGAGCTTTACTGTGAAAGCGCTTCGAACACTTTGTACAACCGAAAGTTTTGTCCACGTTGTGTATCCAGGAGTGCTTCAGCAAGCTGCGTTTGTCCTTGCACGTTTTTCCACACTGCGTACATGTGTTTGGCGGCGCATCCTCAGCGTGATTCTGCCGCACGTGCTCTGCGACTTCTGCTTCGTCACGGCATCTCGCCCCGCACAACAGGCAGCGACGACTAGGAGACCTTGTTTCAAATTCACCAGATAAGTAAATGCACATAAGACGCGTTTCGAATTCATTCGATTTTCGAACCCAAGTCGTTTCGCATATCTTTAATGCTATAGCAATATACATATTTCTACTATTAATTCGACGAGCGACAAAATATTTGATCGCGAAACTGATTGCTACTAATTCTACGTGGATCGCTGCTGAATCAACGAAAACCATGGATACCTTGAAGCGTGAAGTTCGGCGTGTGCCAACAACGCTAGAGCCTCCTCGAACTCTTCTCCGCAAACATTGCACATATGATGCTGACTGGAACTCTCCAGTGTGTCCGTCTCCGGCTTTATGTGAATTCTATATACACGAGATTAAGCTCCACGTAAACAAATTTTCAATATTAACACCAACATGTAATAAAAGAATTAATACTATTAAGAATTACATTATTATTTAATCTTAATCCATGCCTTATAAGCTGTGTCATTAATATTTTAGCTACGATTGTAATTTTTTTCCTTAACATCCCAATTTGAATATCTCAATACCTATATTTAATAACGGTATTGAAATATCAAATGATATATTATTTAAAAAATTCAAATCTGTATAATCTACGAATCTCCTGATAAATCAGAAACTGACTATTCGAACCACCATTCTTTTTTTCAATTCTGTATCCCAACATTTGTGTTCACCCAGATAGGCACTGTATTCTAAAAGCTCTGCAATTTTTCAGCTCTACAGTGTTACACAGCTTATAGAGATACAATGCTACAGAAGATTGTTACGGATATACCCCTTACGTCCATTTCTATCAATGCAGATTAACTTTAGTCTCGGTTGAACTTAATATTTATCTTATTCTAGCTCTAAGCCTCGGTTTCACCAACGTTGTTTAACTTTAAGCTTAGCTTAATTCGTTTTCTGTCCCTTTCCAACTGTTACTCTAGAAAGAGGCAAGCATGAATTAAACTAAGATTAAAGTTGAGCGACGTCTGGCGAAACCAGGCCTAAAAATTGGAAAAAGATGGGGAGAGTAACTCGAAACCGAGAATAAAGTTAAACTACATTGGAAGTGGACATTAATCTGGAATACTCTGTGCAAACTTGGAGCACTTACTTCTGATGGCGTTTAAGTAGATCCAAACGGTGGAACGGTACCCCGCAGGTATTGCAATAAAACTCGGTAATCCTCTCGTTGTCAGCCGTGTAAGCGGCGTCATTCTCAAACTCATCTGCATCGGATACCTGCTGGGGAATAGCGCCGCCGTGTTTGATGCGTACATGCTCCCGTAGACTGTTGACGTCCCAGAACATGTCCCCGCACGAGGTACACTCGAATGGACTGTCACCACCATGGACGCGTGCGTGCGATGCGAGAGCTTTCTCCCTTGCAAACGCGAGGCCGCACGACTGGCAGACGTACGGTTTCGTTGCGTCCGTAATGGGCCACGGTTGCGGCTGTTGTCTGCCCGTGACGGACGACATCTCCTCTATTTGCCACCTCGAGCCGGACGCGTAATTGCCACTGGGTGTGAGACAACCATCGGTCAGCACGTTCTCGTACAAGGATAGCGCGTGCTCGTAAACGTCTGATTTATGCACATACTTGCCCATCTCCATCTTGATCTCCGCGATGTTGCGCTTCGGCACGCTGGCGGCGGTGTTGTTCTTTCGTTTGCGGGGCGCGCTCGATTGCACCTTCTTGCGCCTGCCTTTATTGCCACCGGTCGTCACATCCTCCTCCTCGGTGATCAACGGATCCTCGTCGTTCAGGTCATCCTCGAGGCCGTCCTGCGACGGCGGGTACGCGTGGACCTTGAGGTGATTGTTCAGATCGCACTTGCGCACGTAGCGGGACCCGCACAGGTTGCAGCCGTACGGCCGGTCCGTCTGGTGCGCAACGATGTGATTCATCAAGTTCGCCTTCTTTCGGAACCTGCGGCTGCAGAAGTCGCACGGATACGGCCGGGCGTTCTGGTAGGAGTCCTGGTCGATCGGCAACGGTATCTCCATGTCGTCGTACTCCAGCAGATTGTCCTGAGTCATCTTAGCATCTGGGATCTCGACTCTTTAAACGAAAAACACTTCGTTAGCAAGAGCAAACCTCGAAGGAATCAAGGAAATAACCTTCCAGCTGCCAGCAGACAAGTACGAAGGTACAAAAACATTGCTCGGACGCATCGTTTGGTGCGTCCGCACCGATACTCACCCATCGTCTGGACCGGACCGGTCCCAGTTGTCAGCTATCACCTCCTCGGTGACTTGTATGTTGAGATAATCATGGCCCTGATCCTGCGGCACTATGTAGATCGACTCCATGTCGTTGGACTGGGGTACCATCAGTATCTCGGAGTCGGCGGTGGGCGTCACGTCGGGAACCGACTCCACGGTCTCCTCCACCGCCACCTCCTCGCAGGCGCCGATCACCTCCTCCTCCGACGCGACCAGCTGCGCCTCCAGGCCGCATATCACCTCTCCGTGAAGCTCCACGTCTCCCACCCACTGCAGATTCAGATCGCCGGCAACGTCCATTTTGTTCGGCACGTCGACTACTTGATCACTGAAATCACTGGCGAGACGTGGGCGATGAGCGCGAGCGAGACCCGGCTGGCACCGCGGTGCCGATTTCGCCGACGGGAGCCCGCGGACTCGCGAAACCACCGCGGCCGCGCGATCGAGCGGGGAGCGCGCTTATTCGCGCGTTCGCGTTCGCGACTGACCGTCTGGCGAGCGACTCCGCGACGACGAGGCGCGCGAGCAGCTTCCACGCGAGTGACCCTCCGCGGGTGTGAGGTTACATCACGCGGCGTACGTGCGCGCCGACGCGCGCGTTTCCCTCCCGCGGACACACTCGCGAGCAGCACACGCCGAGCCGCGGCGACCAACGGATTATCAGCGGAGCACCGTGTTCCCCTCTCCCTTCGTCGTCGCCCGACCCGTCGTCGTCGTCGTTGCGGCGACAAACGATGATCGCGCGCGCGAACGCGGCGGCGCGATCGGCCGCTCGGCGTCGGGCCGCGTCTCGACACGAAGCCTGAGGTTATAATTATATAGGTTATAACGAACGGTTGGAGGTTATAGCGAGAGCGGTACGTGCGCCGCGTCCTCGGGGAACGTGGCGTCGGCGAGGAACGACGGTGGCGTCGCGACGCCACCGGACGAGGAGTGCCGGAGTGGCGCGACGAGCGGCGTTGGCGGCAGCGGCGGCGACGGCGACGACGGTTGCGGCGGCGGCGATGGCGATGACATCCGAGCGACAAAGCCAGGCGCGAACCGCGAGGCGAGAGGCAACCCTTCCGTTTCGACGACGGAGCTTCTTGTTCGTCGCACGCGCGCTGTTTTTCTCTCTCTCACCTCCGTCGTAAACGGGGAGACGTACGCGCACGCACACGCACACGCACGCACACACACGTAGTAAACACGCGCGCGCGGATCTCAAGCGGAGGCGCGGCGTCGCCGCGCGGACGGCACGCCGAGCGTGACCGGCGCGAGACACGGGCGCGGAAACGGCCGCGACGACCGCGGCGCGATTCTACTTACTGTTCCGAAGTACCAAGTGTAAAGGCGCAGCCAGTGACCTAACCAAGGAGCAACTCGGTCCCGCGATCACGAAGAGCAGCGTCGACCTTCGGTTGTTTTCAATCCTGGTGGGGGATGCGCGTAGAAATAAACGTGACAAAATGGCGGCTCGTGCGGTGCGACGTGCGCGCGCGCAATTACCGAGCACCGGCACGGGTCGTGCGTAGATGGGCAAGTCGACCGCGGCTCCCGAGTGATCGGCGGCGTCCAATGGGGGGACTCGCTTTCGCGGGATTTGGGAATCTGTGACATTTCTCTGTACAAGTGATGGATAAAATGATTGCGACATTTTCCTTTTTTTTTTATGAGCTTAGAAACGCCAGGGTTACGTCGTGGTGTAAGGCTGGTATTACATTTGTCGTGCAACAAAATTTTTAAGCGTATTGATTGGCTGAAGGATAGTAAAATTCTCGAGTATCTAGAAACTTTCTATTCAGCGGCCAATCGACACGCTTGAAAAATTTGTCGTACGACAAATGTAATAGTACCCTAACTGTAGTATGCCCAATCTCTGTCGGTTCTTTGATCTTTCGGTTTCGATCACGTGATATTCCGCCATGTTTTTGGTATAAAATCTTGTCACACTGATTTAAAGCTGGAAACACACGACGAAACTGGAGCAGTGAGACTTAAAACTTGAAGAATTTCAACCAATCGGAATTTTCAGCATCGCTTAAGTTTCAAAATGGCTACTCGCGTTCTCGACAGCCACTGGTAATTTCTCTTGAGTTTAAAAGTTTACTGCTTAAGTTTTTTCGTGTGTCGGGTCTTCATTATATACCACACCTACAATATCCATCTCATTGGCTCCACCAAAAAAATGACGGATGCGCAAAAGAGGATCGACGCAAAACAAATGAGAGTGGGCATAGTTATACTATGGCTATGTCTCCAGGAATATTTTGCTCGACGGCCATTTCGAAACCATTTTGAACGTTTCCGATGTATATTTCAAGTAAAATTTTCCTCGGAGAGAGAGAAAATGTTTTGGGACGTAAACCTGAATCTAAATGTGCGTTTCTAAATTAATTTCTTAAAAATGCCGTATTCTGTCCATCATTGTACTTTTAAAGCCAGCGGCGTACGATGCTTTTTGCTTGCTGATTTGCTTGCGTGCACCTTTAAGGCCTGTGTCCACGATGCTAGGACTTTGACACAGTTCTTGGATCGTGGACACAAGACTTTATTAACTGGTGAGAGCCAATTCGGATGCAATTTCAACTCATCTGACCTATCACATGAAATTTCGATTGGCTCTCACTGCCAGCAAAGGTGCACGCAAGCAAAAAAGCACCGGGTACCACTGACTTTAGTAGGCTTGTTCGTGTTGCTCGAAATCCCCCGAAATTCCTGAACTTGGCAAAAAGAAAAATATACGTTGGAGAGAAAGAAAACGAAGATTCTGAATGCAACAAGTGCAAGCAACACGAACAAACCTGTCGAGATCCCTTTGCGGTGTAGATAGAGGACTCTGGAAAAGTGTAAATGAGCGGCGCGTTTATCGGCCGCGACTATAAACTGCGTCAAATGCAGCCAATCAATGCACTAGTCTACACTAATTTACATCGAAAAAGAATCTCATTAATACACTGCGGTGTATAATTAGCATATCCACTCTATGCTTTTTTTCAGTTTCGGTGTGCGGCCGGCACAGGCGCAGAGTACACACGGACGCTCGTATGCGTGAGCACCGTGGTGCAGCCAGGTGCAGCACCCGAGGGTGCTAGAATCCCACGGTTTGGATCACTGGCGTGTAGTTGTGAAAAAAAATTTGTGAAATCTGACATCAAGTTCCATTGAGGAGGTGAGTCTTTAAGCTTCGATTATTATATAATAAATAAATATTTGGCAATAAATTCTACGTGCTACAGTGATACAGTGAGATTGTATCATTAGCGAAGTACGGGATGTTTAATTGTAGAGGTTAGATTTGGCGATCGCGAAATCGCGAGGTGTGCAGTTCGTAATCGTGGACCTATAAAACGCGGATTGCGCTTCTCCGTTAGAAAATGTCTCCGGCAAAACAGAGAGAGAGAGAGAGAGAGAGAGAGAGAGAGAGAGAGAGAGATGCAAATGCGCCCCTCCATAGGTTATTTGAATCCCTCTCTTCGTCAATTCCCTCTCTTTTCTCCCGTTTTACGATGTGGAGGGGGCACTCGTATTCTGTCTCTCTCTCTCTCGCTCGCTACGTCATGGAGATACGCCATCCTTTACTATCCTGTGTAAAATTGATAGATACGCAGTCCGTGCATCATAGGTCCATGTCTGTAATATGAAATACTCAAGGTATATTTATTAATGAGGTAATCTATGCTTTGAATGGGCATCAATGTGGCTAGTACTGGAGTGAGTGGTCCTATTGCCTTCGATGTCGCCGGGAGAGAGGTGCTGTTGGGTGGATCTCTGTCTCTTTCTCTACTGTCTGATTGGTCAACGATTTTCCATCTCACCTTATGTGAGTAAAGGCCTGTGTCCACGATGCTAGAACTTGACCAAGTTCTAGCATCGTGGACATTGGGCTTAAGATAGAAATTGTGATATAGGAAATTTTGTAGGAAATCGATCAATCAGATAATAGAGAGAAAGACAGAGATTCACCCAACAGCACCTTTCTCTCGGCGACATCGAGAATAACAGGAAACAATAGGATCGATCACTTCAGTATGTTTTAAACCCGTATCGAACCACAGATTAGGTCGAGATTTGATCAATCGGAGTAAAATCCATTAAACTTGGTATCAGTAAACTTTAAGCCCGTATCAGACTACGGATTGAGATTGGGATTAGATTGAAATTTGACCAATCACAGTAAAGTTTACTAATCTCAAGTTTAGTAATTTTTACTCCAATTGGTCAATTTTCCATCTAAACTCTATTTCAATCCGTAGTCTGATACGGGCTTTACTCTGCTTGCGGTCAAGCAGCTGCTACAAATACTTCGAAGTGTCTCTCTTCTCCTATCTTTTCTAAAAGAAAGGGGAAGAAGAATACTTTGAAACATTTGAAGCGACAGATTGCAGCCTCGTTTGGTCAAATTTCAATCTAAATCCGTAGTCTGATACGGGCTATAGATCTCACTGGGCCACACTGGGCTAGAATGAGGGACGCGTGAGACGCCCCACCACTAGATGCGAGATGCCTATCAGTGCTACCACATGCGTAGCGTGTCAGTGTAAAGCTTTCGGCGTTTGCTACACCTACACCGACATACTATGCATTTGTAGCGGCATCCTCATTTAATGATAAGGAGCCTCGTCCCTCGTTTTAACCACATGGGCGAGCACAGGTTAACTCGTAGCATATTTAATGCCCAGAAAAGAAAAAAGAATTTTGTGTATTATTTTTTTGTAGAATCTGACCATGAAGAAGAGTACAGTTCGAGTACCACGAGTAACGAATAAGCGCCGACAATGGAACCATGAAGATTTGGCGAAGGCCGTGGCGGCAGTTCGGAGCGGTAAAATGGGATATTTGAAGGCTGCGAAAGAGTTCAAAGTCCCAAAAGGAACAGTAGAAAGGCATGCGAAGATGGAAGAATCAAAATCTAACGCTATGCTCCTGAAAAAACTCGGACGACCACGGATTTTTACTGACAGTCAGGAGGAAAAACTTGTAGAATACATACTGACCATGGAATCAAAATTCTGCGGATTAACGAAGCGTGACCTACAGTGCATGGCCTATCAATTTGCTAAGGCGAATAATATACCAAATCCGTTCCAGGAGGAGGCGGCTGGAAAAAAGTGGTTTTATTCCTTCATGAACAGACACAAAAATGTGCTTTCAATACGAAAACCAACCAACACACCGTTTGCTCAATCCAGTAGCTTTACTCGCGAGAATGCCAATATATTTTACGACAACCTGAATAACATTTATGAAAAATATAAGTTCACGCCCGACAGGATTGTCACTATAAATGAAACAGGCATAACAGTTGTTCAGTCGGAAATTCCAGAAGTTATAGTTTTAAATGGTAAAGATTTATGTACTTTGTTATCCAATTGAATGTTCAAAGTGAGGAAAGTCCAGGTTCAAATCCTGGCTGTGACAAACGGCCCTTAATTCGTATTTTAATTTTATTTTTCAGACGAAAGGCAGGTTGACTCATTGACAGCGCCCGAGAGAGCCAAGTTAATCACTGTTGTTATCGCCATGAGTGCTACAGGAGTGTATGTCCCCCCTATGATAATCTTTCCACGAAAATTAATGAACGCACGACTGATGAAGGGAGCTCCACCGGGTGCAATTGGCGTTGCCCATTCTTCTGGATGGATTCAAACAGATTTGTTCACGCAGTGGTTCGTGCACTTCTTGGAAATCATGAAGCCGTCTACAGAATCACCTGTGTTGTTAATTTTAAATGGCCACAGTACTCACACTCGAAATATCGATGTGATCGACTTGGCGTTGAAGTACCACGTAATTATGCTCACAATCCCTCCGCACTCGAGTCACAAGCTCCAGCCACTCGACAAAGCATTTATGAGCGCTTTTAAAACCAATTACAGCGAAGAAATCCGCGCGTGGATGCACAATAACGCTCGTCCCCTCTCGGCCGTCGATATGGCCGAGCTTTTCAACAACGCGTACGCTAAAGTACAAACGGCCCTTATTGCGATCAACGGGTTCCGCGAAACTGGTATCTATCCGTTCAATAGGGACCTTTTTACCGATGCTGACTTTATCGAATCGGAGAATACCGCTCGGGAAGTTTCTCAGGCCCAGATTGTTTCTGTCAGACGAGAAACCGAGGAATACTCGGTCAAAACCACGTTTCAAGCAACAGACGATAATTCCGAGACGGCAGAAGTAAAGGATGACGACCCATCCTTGCCTCCCAGTATTCCAGGACCGTCAACTTCTGCTTTCCATGAGACGTCAACGAGGATCGAGTCCAGAAGGCATGTTTCCAGTGCCAAGAATTGTTCATAAAGTCGGCGCTCGAGGCCGACGATAAACAGTTTCGTCATTTATAAATATCGCGAGTGCTAGCTACTGATGAAAATAACAAATGCAGGCAACAACACCTGTGAAACGAAAGTGTAAACAAACTAAAAATAACTTTAGCGACTCGTACTAAAACTACTTGAGCTTTTACATTACATTTGTATTTAATAAACTTTTAATTATATTGCGATACTCACATGGTTTGCACTTTACTCTAGCGATTTGTCGGAGTATCTCGTATTAGGAGCATACTTTGTCGCACAAAACGGTGCCTCCGCAGCGGTGAACTCGGGTCCTTGGGCTCGTTATCTCTCAAAAGATTACGTAAACTTGAATGAGACCCTAGTTTTTGTGTAAAATTAGATTGCATCCGTCATTACGTCGATATAGGAAAATAATGATATTGCCATTAATTTGACATCTAATGTCAAATGAAGAATTGTATTCGATGTAGGTATATTATCGTATCTTCTTAAAACGCAGATTAATTCCATTGCTCACAGATGCCTTTAAACGTGGATCAACACAGCTCGTATCTTCGGTCTCCAAAATTTCGTAATCTTTCAGCAACAAGGCTAGAACGACGTGTAATTGACCAACTTGCCTTCCTACAAATATATAAAATTAGTGATCAATCAAATAATGAGTTTCCCTGTAATGGCCTTATCAGGTGAGAAGTTCGTTGAATCACAAAACAATCGTAAGAAATAGTAGTAATAGTTTCCGGATGAAAGAGTTGCGAGAAATCTTAAATAACTTGAGTTTTTTAAATCCCTTTTTAAAAAGTAATTAAGGTGATTGCATAGTAACAATTCGGTGGCGATCGTGGCGCAGAGGATTGTTCGCTGGTCTGGTAATCCGAAGACCTGGGTTCAAAACCAAACAAAACATTGTTGGTTTTTCGTTCGATCGCCACATAGAGAAGTGGATATAGATTATAGAGAGAGATTTAGGCACGGTCTTACGACAAAGAAGGACTCGGGGCTCCGGCAAGAAAAACCTTCGCGTCCTGTGTCTTCTCTTGCATACACGAAGGTTTTTCTTGCCGGAGCCCCGAGGTCCTTTTTCGTCGTTGTAAAAATTTTTCCTCTGCAGGCGATAATGTTTCTTCTTCCAGACGATTCTTACACATCTTGCGTTTTCTCTCGAACACACGAAGGAGCCCTTGGAGTGAAATGTGTTTGGTGGAAAATTGATTTTTGGATTGCGTTGTCGTTGCGGAAAAAGATTTGCCGATTGAATTTGGACGCTGCAAACCTCTGATAATAGAGGACTTGATCCTATATTATTGATTTGGATTTATATACACACAAAGTTACTAGAGTACGCTCTATCAATTGGAAATGGCAACTCGTGAAATCTCTCATCGGAAAAAGGAATTTAATTTTTCGCCTCTCAATATTATTATATATAACTTTTTGCGCGAACACGATTTGCGAATACTATCATTCGAAAAGAAGTTAAACGCTAAACGTTCCTCTTTATAAAACTTTATAAACTATAAAAACGAAAATGGCCCAGCTGTCAAAATCGTCCGTGTGTCAAAGACGCGCGCCGAAGAACAAACACCACGGCTGGAACATAGCAATAAAGTCCCTTTACTCTCTGTCCCACTCGGTTATTCTGGGCCTATATTCCGTACACGATTACCGACGACCATCGATACGTTAACGACGTTTGCGCAGCTTTTCTATCATGTAGAAAAAGCTGCGCAAACGTCGTTAACGTATCGATGGTCGTCGGTAATCGTGTACGGAATTTAGGCCCTGGGGGTTCACTTTTTCATAGAGCGCACGGTGGGTCCATTTATACCACGGTCCACGCCTCCCACCGCGCGCTCGCGCCAAGTCTTGCCGGAGATACTTGTCCCTGCATCAGAGCCGCTGAGTCAACCGTGGCTGTCGACGACAACTTCAGGGGGGTCGCCAACTGCCGCGTACTCGCGAGATGCGACATTTCCGAGTGTTTCAAGTGGGTCCGATGACGGGCCGGTTATGTAGCTCGGCTTCGCCTGCCTCTCGCTATTTCCTCGTTGCCGCGCACCGCGATAGTGCTCGTTCCTCCCTTTTCAAGCGCGCACGGTCCCCTCCGCGTCACATGTCGCGACTCGCAGCGCGCCCAATAGGTTAGGTCGCCTCGGCGTTGTGTACGACGCTCCCGTCCTCCGATTCGACGCCTCTGTCTCGCCGTCAGGACCGACCGACGTGCAGCATGCTGTCAAAAAAGAACAAGGATCTGCGGACGATCAAGGAAGGGGTGGTCGGCAAATACGTGAAGAAGGAGACGCCACCCGAGATGCCGAGTATGTGTCGCGCAGCAATCGGCCCCGTTCGTCTCTTTCTCCCCGTCTGTCTTTTCCTTTGTGCGAAGGACACCCTCTAGACTCGGGGTTACATTTTACATTTATTAATGCAATTTATTAACGTCGATAAAGAGCTGTTGTTAGTTTAAAAAGAACGTAGACTTTTTCACGCGTCGCACGTTTGTCACTCGTGTCTTCTAATTAACTCGATTGTAATTTGAAATCTCAAAATTTCTCTCACTTTCACGCATCTTTTCTCGACGTTAGCAAACTAGTACGTACAATTTATAAGTCTTTGACGAATACACATATTTCCCTGCTTTTAAAAGACAAACTGTACTGTTTTTTTTATTTCCCATACTCATTTTTAATGCTGTACAATTCGCGTTCTCTGTATTTAGTTATCAACGTGTGGACGACGGAGCCGAACAGAAGGCCGAGACGACGCAGCAATCATGCGCTGATGCCGAGCTCTACGGTAAAAATTGTACTGTGTATAAGTGCATTACATACTAACGTATCACACAACGTTCCCTAACATGAACATGGACGCAAGAAAGCAAGAAATGAAATAAAAAGTTTCACTTACGCCATCAAAAATCAAGTATTATATTTGGTACATTATGTTGAGTTGATCCACACATACGCATATAAATTTGTCCAGATTTTTGTTCTAGTTCGCATTTGATTATAATTAATAATTATTTGTATATGTAATTTAAAGAGTTAAAACATTGTACATTTGAATTTTATTTAAAAATCCATAGAATTTATGGATCAACCCAATATTGTAGCATATCATGTATATTCAGAGTTGGGAAAGTTACTTTATAAAAGTATCTAGTTACAGTTTTTTTGCTAAAAATGTAACTGGTTACAGTCACAAGTTACCAATTCTGAAAGGTAACGCGTTACAGTTACAGCTACTGAAAAAATAACGAATCGTTACTTTGCAGTTACTTTCTTGCAATGAAAATAAAGATATCAAATCTGCATTCGAATTGTAAAAACGTCGATAAAGGTGTTTGTGCGCAGATGCAAGGCCTAATGCGATCTGTGGAGATTTAAAATGCATATAAAGTAACTCTTAGGGCCAGTTTCACAAACGTCGGTTAACTGCTAATCGAAGGTTAATTGATTCTCTGTCTCTTCTTAGATAACGGGATAGAAAAAGATAGGGAGTTGACTAAACTCTGGTTAGTAGTTAGTCGACGTTCGTGAAATTGGCCATTGGAGCTTTCACGGTTTAAAAACCATTTTTTGTCCCTGTCATATAAGTTGATATTAAACTTGCTTTTAATTGATACTAATTTAATTTGTTGCAACACGCTCTGCCAAAATTAGAGTTGTCTGTATTGTCAAAGGATGTTTCTATTGCTGAATAGCGCGGAGTTATACGAAATAATAATACTTCTATGTATATTTTCTTGCACAAAAATTTTAATTTTAACAAGGGGGGGAGAGAGAGAGAGAGAGAGAGAGAGAATATGAATCATACCTATCAATTTTCCCATCAACGAGAAAGTGTTTTATACAATGTCTCGTAATTCCCAAGCAGCCGAGTCCTGGTCAAGAATCATTGAAACATATAAGAAGACATCTGAAGATGTTGATTTTTATCGATGCTTCTCTCGTGTCATAGTCCATTTCTCCGCAACCTAGTATGGTGCAAAAGTTCGGAAATCTGAAAACCACGAGCAGCGCCGTCGGTCTGGGCAGCCACGAGGGAAAATACACACCGAACAGTTCCGTTCCCGACTTGGCTCATAGGTCAATAGATTTTATGTTTAATTTGATTTTACGAAACGCGGATGTTTCATAACCGTAACGTAACTGTTAAGCGATAATATTTTTATTTAAAACTAACGAAGCTAAAGAGACAGTTTAAGTCGTTTAAGAGAACAAACTATCTAGAAAAAACGAGACTATACCATCTCCTTCGATTGTACTCTTTGTTTTCACGATAGATTTGCCAGTCTTACCGTCAACACCGGAATGAATGACGGTATGTTTTCACGAACCGCGACACCCATGTACCATCCTGAACTGTCGCCCGCGATGTCGCACACTTTTATCAATCACTATGCTGGATCCGAGTACCACCTGGACAGGGTTCAGACACCGCAGATGCCTTACATGCCTTATGAAGTCGATGCTGGTTACGAGGACTACAGCCACTCCGTTTATCGCCACAATGCTGGGTACGAGAATCGTTTTCGACAGCTTTCATATTACAATTGCAGACAAACATTTCTTTCATTACAAATTTTGTTTCAACTATTAAAGTCTCAAGTTGCACGACATAAAAATTTTGTACGCCCCGGCTGGTACAATTCTCATTCCATGTAAGGGCCTGAGCAGAATGGCTATCTTATGTCTTTAAGACAATGTTTTGTTTTAAGCCTTTGTTTTGAAGTAACGCACAATAACTGTCTCGCGTCTTAGGGCCGGTTTCACCAACGTTGTTTAACTTCAAGCTTAGCTCAATTCGTTCTTTGTCTCTTTCAAACTGTTACTTTAAAGTGAGATAAGCGTGAATAAAACTAATTGTAAAATTAAAGTTGAACAACGTTCGGCGAAACCGGGCCTTAAGAGCACAAGACAGCCATTCTGCTCAGGCCCTAACGAATCGCGCCCTAAACATCGTTTCTGTACTTTACGCTTGAAAACAATATCGTGTTAATTTTCGGTTAAAGCTACAGCAGATGCTACTCGGAGAGATCGAGTTCTCGGAGTGAGCAGCAGCAGCAGCAGGACGAGTTGCCTCTGCCGCCTGGATGGTCGGTGGACTTCACCCTCCGCGGCCGAAAGTACTACATCGATCACAACACCAAGACCACGCACTGGTCGCATCCGCTCGAGAAGGAGGGTCTGCCCACGGGATGGGAGAGAATCGAGTCTCCCGAGTACGGCGTTTACTACGTCAAGTGAGTGAACTCGGAAGGTGACTCCGCACTGCCGTCGCGCTGGAAAAATAAAGCGGCCCTCCTCTTTCAGCCACATCACGCGCCAGGCGCAGTACGAGCACCCGTGTTACCCGCACGAGATGCAGGCGGCGCGGGTGGTCTCGCCGCCGCGGCACACCCACTTCCACTCTCACAGCGTCCTGGTGCCGGCCAATCCTTATCTCAACGAGGAGATACCGCACTGGCTGTACGTGTACAGCAGGGCCTCGATCGCCCTGGACCGCAAGCTGCGCTGGGAGTTGTTTCGCCTGCCCGAGCTGGACTGCTTCAACGCCATGCTCACCAGGCTGTACAAGCAGGAGCTGGAGGAGGTTGTGATGCGCTACGAGGAGTACAGGTGAGGAGCGAGATACAAAACAATCGTCAACGGCCATTCTTAACACGGTATCGTAACACTTTGTATTTCACACGTCTGCCTCTACAGATCGGCGCTGCTATGCGAGATGGAACAGAGACTGAAGGAATTGAATCCGGAATCCGGCGGTTCCAACGTTGGCGCTATTGCCTTGCGGAGATCCCTTCCCTGAGGAAAGTCTGCCGAATCAATCGATTGTTTTATATATATATATATATTTGCACGTTTCTCTCAAGTGAGGAAAAGCATCACAAAGAAGTGACCGATAGCCCTGTATTTTGTACACGTGTAGATAATATAAAGCCCGATGAGATTATTCTCTTTCTGACGATACATGTTAGGCGACGCTACACGGAAGTTCTGAGAAATAACAATAAACCTTACTTAAGGCTCGTCCGTCTCGGCAGTTGCGTCTTCGCTCTCCTTGTTCTCTCTCTCGATCTGATCGACCTTGGCCTTGTACGCGATTTCGAAGTCTTTGGTGAGCGTCAGGCCCGTTACCTGGTACACTTTCATGTTCGGGGACGTGCCGGTCAGGTGTCCGTACGCCATCCCTGCGAAAAAAAAAACAGACTGAATTCCATCCATCCGTCCTCGTCGCCAAAGGCGAAAATTAGATCTGGACTTACTTCGTTCCGCGGCGTCCTCCGGCACCTCCTTTTTCAGGATAGAATAGAATATGAAGCCGAAAGCGTGCCATCCTACGACAGCGTAAACTATCGCCATCCTTTGCCGGAGTCGCGCGACGTCCTGCTTGGTTTTCGTTTTAAACCATTGTCGAAACAACCTTTTCATTTTTATTCTTGGTTTAAGCGAGCCCGACGATGTCACATAACCTATGAGAGGCCGTCGAGGGAGTCGGTCGCGCGAACCGCGAAAGAATTCACGTGTCGCTCTCCGCACCGACAACGAGATTATCGGCAGACGAGTTGCAAACGGCGAAACATGAAATGTCGACAGCGATACTCGGCTCGAACGGGGACGAACGCGACATCGGGAGCGCTCTTACATCTGAGACGTAGACGGCGTAGACGTAAACTCTTGGACCTTTGCGTTCCCGACCACGTGGTATGCCGCCATACACCTGGGCAGGATCCAGCGACGTGTGTGTATGTATACGTACTCCTCAAAGCCACACCACACATATACATTTTTCTCCCATTGGTCTGCCCGGAGCAATGTTGGATGCGCAGAAAGGATCGACGCAAAACGAAGCAAATGACGGAGTGAACCCACCAGTTTACTCGAGGGGGAAACCCCTGAGGACGTTGCGGTGTACAGATTTGCGGCATTACTGGTCATTTTTTGGGCATTATAAAGATAAAAGAAGATAAGATAAAGTAATGCCCACTGGACAGTAGTGGGCATTGAGTGTACGAGATTTGGGTCAGCGGTTTTCCCTTCGAGTTTACTATGACCTGAGGATGACCTTTTCGTCTCATTGTCAGAGTCAAAACGCATCTAGGGACTCGGTGGGCCGTGATTGTTGGGGAGAAAGGCGTGCGCTGGAAAAGTCGAAGGATCGACGAGAAAAGAATTTAGGAAAGAATCGACGGCACTCAAAGAGCAGAGTACATTGAAAAATTATCCGAGCAAAATTACTTTTGCGCTTTTCCCCCCCATCAATGGATCAATATGTAGAGGAGAGTCCTCTATTACGGTTTTCAACATCTCCAAACTCGACCACAAATCTTTTTTTCGCAACGATTGCACAATCTAGCAGTGCATTTTCCATTGAACAAATTTTACTCCAAGAGCAATAAGTTGACGACGCCTATTAATTTAGCAGAAACTCCGCTATCTCATAACAGGAGGCGTTTCACTAACAATTTTTTTTCTTATACAATTGTCAACGCTTTCTTCTAAACAAGCCCCTTTTGAATTTTAATTATGCTCTGGTTTGTAACTTTAATCGTCCGTATTTTTCAATAAGATTATGATTTTTTTTTAAACCGAACAATCAAGCGGTTATTTATCGCCGAGGCGATTAAGATTGATAAAAATTGGCTTAATGTCGCTCAAGAAACGAAATTGCACAGAAGTAAATTAATTTGCAAGATTTTCATGCTATTTACTGTCACAATTTCGCTCCCAGCCCAGTAAACACCGAGCATCAATTACATGGCATTTATATTGTTACAATTTCTCACTCGACAATGTTAAACGCGAGATAACACACGTGTGTTATCTCGCGTTTACATTGTCGAGTGAGAAATTGTAACATAAACGCAATGCGACTGATGCTCGGTATTCACTGGGAAGTAATTTATCTCTTTTCCATTGTTTCAAATCAAGGTTGCAAGTAGAGCGACGCTACTACCTTGTGGCGAGTCGAAAAATAAAGAACTTTTTCAATTATTTGTTCCTGACCATCTACATCTAATTGTTCTAACCACGACAGAGTTATACATTCAATCTCTTTTTCTTGGACATTTGAATTGTATTCAAAGATCGATTTTACGTGGCTCCAGTGCGCAGATGGTCCATCCAGCGGCGGGATCTTCTGCTCTCTCTTTTACATAATTCAGAATTCTGAAAATAAATGTTATTCTGGGGTCATCGTGCGACCGAAAAGTCGCGCGTTAAAACTCTCTTGATTATTAGAATATTTAATCTTGAGAAGTGAAAGGGAAAGCGCAGAAAGACTGTGTAAGAAGAACGTTGAAATTTCGAGGGAAAGCTTCGGGAAAGATCCTCTAGAATCGATTGTGTAGCTGAGAACAAAAATTAATCCATGACATCCGGTACAAATTTCGCATGGAATATTGCCAAAATATTCTTGAATCAAACGATAAACTTCTAGGCATGTTTGCAAGTCGGTCTTTCTCTAGCCAGATTTTCAAGATCGTTCCTCAATCCTTGACGATACGTCTTGGTTTACGCTGAATCCACAATGTGCTCTTTGCGCCTGGAAACATTCGGTTTTATGAGCAAATCAAAACGCTTTAAAAAACTCGTCGATAACGTACGATTGTACGAAACGTATCATGTACAACTTAGCAACTTGCACAAATTTTTTTAAACGTATTTATTGGCTACAAAATAGAATGTTTCTAGACGCAAAAAGCACATTGGATATTAGACTTTAAACTATAATTATCTGATACTCGTTTCAACCAGTGCAGATTAATTTTGATCTCGGTTTAACTGAGTTTTTATCTTTCTTTAGATTTAAAAATTAGAAAACGATAAAAAGCTAGTTAAACCGAGATTAAAGTTAATCCGCACTGGTAGAAGTGGAGGTTCGAAGTTAATCCTAATAAAATTTAAAGGCTCTACTGTTGCCCTCTTAAATACATATTTCTTTCCGGAAGACAATCCAGAGCAACAAAGATGAGGCTGATAATGTCGCAATTTTTAACAGTTCAAAATAATCGAATGGCGATGTAATCATTAAAAGTACTTTTAACGACGTAAAGAACTGTTTTGTACTTGACGTTTTATAACACACGCACACGCACACACATACAAAGATTATTGTTCATTGGTATCGTAATGCATAAAAGGATCGTCAAACTAAAAGAGACACAAGATGCCCCGCCACTACTTTTTCAGCAACGGATTCTCCAATAATCTTCCCAGAGTCGGATTTTCCCTCTCGCGAGAATCTCTTTGGACACAAGTTAAACTGCCGCTTACGCCTCCGTCAAGATCGCGATCACGCTCATCGAAATATTCTTCTAAGTGCGAAACGCTCTCTCTTCCCATGTACGATTCACCTCGGCACAAACACGTGGATGCGTTGTAAAGAGCAGCCAAAAAATGGAAATAATTTAGACAATTCTTTAATAAATGTGTATCTATTTACGCGTAAAGAATCTTCTCTTGGACTCTCACCTACGTCTTCAAAGTCACATTACATTATTTTACAATAATTATATATATATATGTATATATTTATATATGTATATGTCACTCTCTGTCTCCTTGAGGTTTTACGTAGCGAAGGTGAACGGAGCGTAACACAAAAGCGAGCACAAAGTCGTGTACAAATCGTGAGAAACATTCGACGAGAAAGATCATCGGAAAGCAATCGGGATTTAAAAAAAAAAGAAAAAAAAAGAGGAACGGTGAACAATGGCAATTCTCGTGCGCTCTCTCCCCGATTATCTCCATGAAAATATGTATGAGCAAGCGGTCACCCATCTCTGTTAACTATCGTATTTTACCTGTAGCTATTATTATTTGTGTATCTTTGTCGTTTATTATTTTTTTTCTTTCTCGTTTAATTACTCTTTATTGTTACCATTATCGTTATTCGTATCATTAATTACTATTATGCGATGGTAAGAAATTTTAAAAACGACCCCCTACGGCTGCCAGCATGGGAGCACAGCTCCGAAAGTGGATCCTTACACCTGCGCGTTCTGTATCGCTATCACGTAATTATATTTATAAGCAACGGATGTTTTTGGTACAATCAAATCTGTTTCGTCTTTCCTTTTTTCTTTTTATTGTATACTCCTCTCGTCCCCTCGCTCCCATTATTTTTCCCTTCTTTTCACTCTCTCACTCTCTCTCTCTTTCTATTAGAAAACAACATATATATATTTTTTTCTTCCTCTCTCTCTCTCCCTCTCTCACATATCTTCTCTCCCGCCGTCGTCCGCGCGAATTGAACCTTATCACTCGTTAACTATTGTGTTCGTGTACGCCGTCTCTCGCCGCGGCCACACGATCATGAAAAAAGGTTTGTTTCACTATCAACTCGCCGCGGGCACTCAGTCACAGCAGTCTCTATGTTAGTAGCACATCGGCCTATATACGTTTTACACATGTATTCTCATTTATCGCAGTTTGGTGTACGCCTCTGTGTATGTGTCTGTGTGTATGTGTGTCTGTGATTTGTTTTGTATCTCGTATTAATTCTATATCATTTTTTATATATAATATATCGTATTATATATATATATTTATATATATATATTTATATTTTTCATTTTTACCTAATTTTTTATTACGTACCTGTTACAATTATCATTATCGTTAATACGAATATATGATACATATATTCAAACACTCTCGCTGACTCCCCATCAGGAGCAGCAAGAATCAGCATAAGGGTCAGTCAGGAGGCGACACACTGGTCGTCTGAGAGAGTGCGCAAAGTGTCGCGTCCTCCAGAAATAAACATAAGGATCACAACGACGTGTACAACTTCGTCCATACCGAAATTTACACCACGATTGTCCCCTCCTACCGAGAGCAGTAACGAAATCTTAGTCAAGAAGGGACTAACGCATTGTTGTATTGTTGTGTGCTGACACTGAGTACATCATGCAGTGGAAACCCTTTGCCGTTCTCAAATGGAAAGAAAAGCCAAAGTGTGAATACCCGAAATACACATAAAACCATTTGAAATTCACTAATCGCCACGTTGTTGTTATTGTTGTTGTTAATGTTGTTAAAAAAGAATAAAATTGCGTGATTAACTCTGCATTGTCTCTTTTTCATTTCTTTCCTCTGCTTCCATTATTCTGCCATTTCGGTCACAACTAATAAAATTAATTACATTACGTCAAGAATGCTTTCGTGAGACACTTCGTTTCACTAACAAGAATTTTTTTGCGTGTAGTATATGGACAACCGACGTAAACTAAGAGCTAACAATCGGGCAGCGTGATACCGTACTTCCACCTAAAACAATAAAAAACAAATATATTTTATATCATCTAAATTAACAAATTAATGTTTGTGTGACTTTAGACGAACTTTGTTGAAATAAGATTTTAATGTAGCTTAATCAAAGTATATAATTTTAAAAATAAAGAAAGTGTAAATAAAAATAATGTGTAATTAAAGTTTCAAAAATATTGACTTCGAGTTGCTCAGAGCATCTGAGTTAAATGCAGTTGAAATTCATAACATTTTAGTATGTATTTACACTCGAGCATATATATTTTAACTCTCTGGAAATAGATTAAATAATATTCTCTCACCAGCTCAGGGACGAGGTCGCGTCATAGATGTGTTAGTGGCAGGAACTGGATTATTGGAGGAAGCTGTAAGAGCATTACGTTCGAGAGTGTTGCGTCGTTCTAACTCACCCAGTTTCTTCCACATCTCATCCCTTTCCTTTTCCTTCCTTTTCTCTCTATAATACAGACATATACGTGTAAGGCAAAAATATAAAGAAATCTTTATTCTTCATATAATTTTAGATAAATTCCGTTACATTAGTAATATAATACTTAATTATCAAAATGTGTTTAATTACAAAATTGTGGATTGAAGTTTTGTTTAATTCTACCAAACTGTAAAAGGTTTAAAAATCTCGGCCTTACTTTTGCCTGTCCAACTTATAGTTGGCAGTAAGTTCATCGAAGAGCTTGCTGTTCATCTCCATGAATGTTTTTAAAACATTATAAACAAGAGCTATGATCGTTTGGTTCCAATGCTCTTTGCTAATTTTGTACAATGCTGGGAACATAATCTTCATTATTACTTGGTTGTTTTCTTCAATTAGAGACATTATATACTCGTTATTCCAAAAGTACAATGCTCTCTCCGCAACCTGTAACGAAAACCAAGTGATTTATTCCTTCACGTGACTTCACGATGAATTAGTCAAGATTAGTGCAAAATGCTGTATAAATTACCTGAAAGTGTGGTGACGACACGCAACGTGCGACTTGCCTGAATAAAGGTTCTTGTATTTTAACAAATTGATTAGGTTCTATAACGTCCAGTATTTCCTCGATTTCACCAAGGAACATCACCTCCTTCTGGCTGCACGTTTTAGGCCAGAACTTAAGGAGGCCTCGTACAACTGGTTCTGTTAAAGTCGCGTCTTTTTCCAAAAATTGCACCACACAATAAGCTAACTGCGCGTGATAGAGCGATAAACATTTCACTTTATGTAGTGGTAACAGCACCTAAGAAAATTAACAAAAAGATGCTTTCTTAACCATTTTTCTTGTTTTGAATTCTTCTCTTCTTCTTTCTCACTCTTACATTGCCTTAATATATATTTTTTAAATAAATTTCGCATCTTTTAAGGGATTAAATAAAACTGAAATAGATTGCAAATTCAAATGTTCGAGGAATTAAACAGGAGATCGCAGTGTGTGAGAAACAAAACAATATATTTCAGAAGGATGGGATCTGAATTGGATCTATGTATACTTCAATTCACTTAATAGAATATAATAACAGAATATAATCGTACCTTAACCAAAAATTGCTTGTGCTCAACTTTTAAGGGAAGAGCGAATCCGTTAATAATGCTACCCAAAATTTCAAGAAGTTCACCGACCCCGTTGAAATGTTCCGTTTCGTATACGAACCTGAAATAACAACAAAATGTATTGTATAAATACGAAGGTTGAAATCAAAGTTAAATCTTTTACACAATACCGACACATTGCTGATAAATAATTTGGTACAATGTTACGCAAAGTTAAATTTCTATTAGAATATTTAATGCAAAATAATATTTTTTAAACTGAAATAAATACCTCAGAAAAATGTTGTTAATTTGTTTGCGTATGAAGGCTCTAAGACCCAGGAACTTGCCATAGATACGATGCAAAACCGTTTTCAGGAAATCTCTTTCCCTGGGATCTTCCGAGTCAAACAAGTCCAACAACTGTAGCAAATCAATACAACGAGTTACATTTGTTTTCATTACTTAAATTACATTAAAAGATGTGATGTATCAGAGACAGATAGTTGAGAGACAACAATACAATGCTTTACCTGTAACACGAATTTTTGGTCAATAACTTTCTTGCCAATAGCAGGCTGAAAATCTGAAGACTCGAGAAAACGGAGGAAGACTTCATAGACCAACTGAAGATGGGGCCAACTCGCTTCCAGGGTCGGATCATCTTCTTCTGGATCAAAATCTGGGTTTTCACTAGGTGGCAATGTACGGAATAGATTTGCAGACACCTTTAACAAAGAATACGTACAAGGAATCTTGAAAATTGTATTTATTACACTCGTTATTAGATGTATATACTTAAAACATTAAAAGTACCATTGAAAAGTTGTAATATAGTTTTTAATTATATTTATTTCACTTATGGACACATTAGATATAAAAAGCCAATGAGCCAATAGATTAAATTAGACTCTTTAATTAATTCTCTTAACATAATAACTTTCAGGCTAACAGGAGCACGTTTTTAAGAAGATAACGTACTGAGCGAGCAAGAATTTTGATGCGCATGCAAGGTCAGCCGCTATTAACAAGAACAAATGAGAGAGATTCTTAATTCCAGCCGGATAATCTTGTCGCAATTCTTTCATTAACATACCATTTTGATGGTTTCCGGATAAATGGGCTCGGTGAGGACACCTCGCCCTGCTGTGATATATTCCACCAATTCATTGAGCGTACTCCGTTTAATTTCCTTGCCTTTGAGATCTGCCATCGGGTCCATGAAATCGAACGCCACGCAGCACTGGCGTAGCTTTTTGATAAACAACTCCTCCTGCTCCGCAGCGTTAACATCTGCAACAGACGGCGAACAATGTTAATATCCAATTCTACACGTTTGCACAGCGTCAAGCCCGTCCCGCGACAATCCTCGATCATATCGCGGAGAGAAAAACTTTGGGGAATTGTGGAAGCGGAATATCCTTACGTCTCGCCATAAATTATTCATTCATTCACGTATGCAAAACAAGAGAATCGGAGAGCAAAGTGCTCGGCTACTATTTTTAACTCTCCGCTGCATGAACGAGAGGCCCAATAAAATGTTATCATTTCCTTTGCTCCTAAATGTGTAAGCAAACAATTTAATTGAGCCGATAGAAACCAGAATCGCGCAAGTCGCACGAGGAGTCACGAGGGACCAGGATGATCGAATGTGCCGTGACGATCGCGCAAGCGGATTGTGCAGCGTGCGTTTGCCAACCGTGAGCTTCCTCGACGAATCTGAGGTCTTTGTCACCTCGATCCAGCCCCGATATTCGCTCGAAATTAAACGAAATTCAGAATTTCGTTAACATCAGCAACGTCCGCTTCGAGAAGAGAGAGAATTCTGCGACTTGGACGAACGAGATATCTTGGCCTTTAAATTTCCACCGACGAGCAACCGATTGGCCAAAGAATTTCACGTTCGTGTTTTATTTTCAATGACATATGTTAGTCTCGTGATAAATAATTTTTAATAACTTAATTTGCCATTCACACTCCGTTACGAGTCATTTTTAACTTCGATCTTATTCGTACGCACGAAGGCTTGTTTCAGTCAATTCTTGTGTAAAAGGATCGTTTTTAATACCTTTTCAACTTCTTAGCCAGATAAGTTACCTGTACACGTACGGATCATCATTTTTTTGGCTACACAGTTTCCAAACATGTGTTTAAGACGAATTTAAATATCAGAATTGACTACGAACAAGCGCGCACTAGTACAAGCAACCGAATTCGCTATTATGTCCCTCCCCACCGATGCAGATTAACTTTAATCTCGGTTTAAATTACTTCTTATCTGTCTTTCTAATTTGTCAAACTAGAAAAAGATACAAAGTAAATTGAACCGAGATTAAAGTTAAACCGCGTCGGTAGAAACGGGTATTATTGCGGCACAGCCGAGACGTTCGCTCGATTCTTTGCTACTCGGCAACAAATTAGAAATCTAAAGGTCTGTTTTTATAACTGAACTGGCCGCACCAGTTCGGAGTTTATTTTTTCCCCTCTAATGTGGAGGGAGAAGGAACACCGAACTGGTGCAGTCATTGCAGCTATAAAGAACAGGCCTGATGTAACACCTCGCGCACGTAGTGATGACCCGATCCCCTTACATTGCATTTCATATTAGGAGCGGCTTTGGCCACAGTCCGATTAACTTAGAGCCAGTTTCACAAACATCGGTTAACTGTTAACTAGGGTTCAGTCGACTCCCTATCTTTTTTTCATCTTATTATTTAAGAAGAGACAGCGGATCAATTAACCTTCGGTTAGCAGTTAACCGACGTTTGTGAAACTGGCCCTTAGTCTGCGATTAAATTAACCCGTCGAGCAATAATCGTGCCATTTTGCGTGAATCGTGGATGAAATTATTAATTTTCACAGGAAGCCAAGTTAGATCAGGGAAATCGTGTTAGAATCGTTGCTCCAAGGGGCCCTGCGGGTCGAATTCATCGCCGATTAACTTAATTCGAGCCCAATCCAAGTCATCCCTAAACACATTATTCTAAAAATAATTCCATCGATTTGTCGACGTATCCGCGTGAAGTTGATCAATTACCATGAGGAATATCTCGCAGAGAGTTGCGCTCGTAGGACACGTTTATGTAGTCCCACATGTAGTAAGAACGTGGAATGAACTGCTGTAAATCCTCGTAGCTCATTATCGAGATTATTGCACTGTGAAAATTTGCACACGAAAATACAACGGAGCCGGAGCCGGGGAAGAGGTTATGTTCGCCCTACAGGTAGGTATATTCGCACGCCCAGCCACCTTCACGCTACGCAGGTCGCGTTCCTTCGATATCTCGCTCTCGTAATTGTCACGAGTCAACGTCCACGAATCGCGTCTAGGAGCACAGTCCTTTTCTTTTCTTATTATCACACGTCGATGAACGCTTGTCTCGCACGACCGAACTGACAATCACGGTCCACGCGTCGAAGCCGACATTGCATATCCGAAGCTTGTGGCGATACACTCCGGAAGAAATACGTTGTCCCCACCCAGCATGGGGTTGTTAAAGGCTATACTATAATACTAGAACTGGCTTCAAATCCTAGTTTCCAGAAACGTGTAGTCGATCAACCTGCAACTAGTCCGTAAAAGCAAGTTGACTGTACATTTCTTGGAACTAGACACAGTTCTGGGATCGTGGGACACAGACCTAGGAAATCTTAGTGAAATTTAAGAGGTACAGCGATGGACAAAATGGTTGCAACCATAATATAACTAGGTCCACTTTCTGTTAACCCTTTGATCTTTTCGATCCCAATCACGTGATACTCCGCTTTGGTCAGCAATTCAACGGCGCGCGCGCGCGTGTGTGTGTGTGTGTGTGTGTGTGTGTGTGTGTGTGTGTGAGTTGAGTAAAATTCTTACGTTTCCTTAAATCTCACTGCTGAAGTTTTTATGTGCCAGGGCTCTTAAAAATATACGAAAAAAACTTAAGCAGTGAGACTTTAGGGAACTATTGCATTTGCCGTAGGACAAATTATTTTAAGCGTGTCGATTGGGCTGCAGGATAGAAAATTTCTACACTCGAGAACTTTTCTATCCCGCAATCAAACAATACCCCATACAGCACCGAAGTTTTCAGAAACATTTCAGAAAACATTGTTGCAATGTTTCTGAAAGCTTCGGTGCTGTATGGGACGCTTAGAAAATTTGTCGTACGACATATATAATTTTACCCTTAAGAGAAACAGCCGAAATTTTCAATATAGTTTCAAAATGGCTTACGTTCTCGATTATGATTGGTCACTTAAGTTTTAAGTTTTACTAAATCCTTCTGTGTGCTATAGCCTTTACTGAGGCGGGAAAACAATTTTTACTGTACTTTTTATAAACATATTACTTTCATATAAACTACTGCGTGTTTGTCATTATAATAAAAAATGGATTTTTAAGTGATTTTTTAAAATCGTATTGAATTTTATAGGAATAATTCGGATACAAAAATCCAACTTAATTCTTTCAAGATCGAATTATTTTTGTCCATTACAATTATTTTTTAAGTGGAGCACTAGCATCCCAAGGAACCAGAAAGGTAATATAAGTGAGACTTTATGTCCCAGTGGTCTTAAAAGGATTAATTTGAAGTACTCCGAAAATTAATTACGGCCTATAAATTCTGAGGCTAGCTGGAATTTTATGCACTCCGCTACTGGTAATCGCGCTACGTTTTTTATCCTAGGAACATCAGATAAAATCGCAAATCGATCGTGAATATCTAGAAATGAAAAACCTGAACGTGCCTATTCAAGAAAGAACTAAGTATCTATAACGAGGTATTTGCTCGTCCTTTGATATTTCACTCGAGGTGTTTGAAGGAGTGCAATCGAGAGACGAAGGACGAAAACGGCAAAGGAGCAATTACGTGTCCATTTGGACGAGCGCACCAATCTGACGAGCTAAATTTCATTTTATCCGCCTCGGAGCGTGTTTAAAAAAAATTCTGTCACTGTAACGGAAAGCGAGATCTGACGGACAAGCGAAGCCACCAGAATTTGTGTTGTATCGGGGGAGAGAAAAAAAATCCCCTCGGCGCGATCGAAAAGCCCTCGCGGGCGGGAGGCTCGACGCGGATCCGGAACACCCAGTACGCAGTCAAAGGGTAACACACATCGGCTAATCAGTTTTTCCCATGCCCTTCACTCCGGGGATGATGGCGCGCGGTTGCAACGTCCCGTGACAACTTCGCCCTTCATAATGGCACACGGCGTGGCCTCAATGACTTTATCGAATTATGCCAAACTCTCTCTCTCTCTCTCTCTCTCTCGCTTTCTATCTCTATCTCCCACTTTCGTAACAGGCGGACGTCCTATGTGAAATACCGCCGCGCGGGTAAATCGAGGCGCAAAGTGGCCATCCTGGGGAAAAATTGGCAGCAATCTCCGCGTTATATTTATCCGCCGAGATTTTTTTCCGGGAAGCCCCGAGATGCGACGTCCCGGTGATAAAAAGGGGAAAGGGAGGCTCTCTCCTCCGAGAAGGATGAGAATCGGATTGGCTGCGTTTCCGTTTGTGCGTGCCCGCTGATCGTCGCTCTTGAGTGGCGACACTCGAAGTCGCGGCGACGAAATAGTTGCCTGTGGTAACACAAGCTTGGCAACACGTCCAGGACATATTTAGACGATTTTGCCATCGTCGGATTGCAACTACAGCGGTCTTATTATCGCCGTCACACGTGAGAGAGAGAGAATCATCATTTATTAAACGCATTTATTAGATATAGATAGATAGATAGGTAGAGAGAGAAAGACGTACGTTGCTCCTCTCTCTCTTTCTCTCCTCTCGACTGACCTTTAAACGCGCGCTCTATCAAATCGTTTCAGCGAAAGAGCATTGAGAAAAAGCACGTCGTCATTAAGCGGCAGGCAGGGATGAGAAGTGCTGGAAGAGGAGACGAGGGAGAGCTGCAAGTCCGCGAGATCCCCGCGATGAATTCTGGTGCACCATGGACGATTTCACGATCGTCCATAAATAGAAGATGGAATTAAGTATCGCTATTTACGCGGCGATAGACAGTGGGGTGCGAGTCTGCGTCACACCCCGAGGTATAACGGGGTGAAGGTGCAATTAATTTTTCATCCCTCCAGGTTCGGAGGTTTCAATCGATGCCAGACGCACGATACTCCTCCGTCGGGGCGGCCTCGCGGCTTCTCCCCGGCGACGGGGAAGCACGAACGGTTGAACGGCCTTAACGCGATTCCATTAAATCCGCGGTAAAGGGACTCAGGTGAGCGAGAGGGAGGGAAAAAAAAAAGGAGGAAGAGTGCGGTAGCGCAACGAGAGAATCGGTCGCCGCGACGCGACA